TAAATTAACACCTTGCTTATTAGTTAAAGTTTTTTTCAGCCGAGATTGAATTATTGCTCTCGCGGTCTCACCAAAAGTTGAATTATCGCCCAAACTTTTTAATTTATATTTCGGGAAACAATTTATGAAGATCTTAACGCGTGTTTATAAATTTATAAATTTATAAATTTATAAATTAACTTTGCGATGAATAATGACAAATGTTCTCAGAGACATTTGATTCAGAGGGTCCGGGCATTCAGACAAGAACAAAGGACCCGTGATGATGTGTTTCAGTTTGGCGGGGGGTGATCATACTGCGACTACAGGCCAGAGGGTTGCTAGAGCTCAGGCGGATGCACAGAGTGGGTTGATCCGCGTATGTATGAAGGGCTGTCAAAAATCTAATGAGAGGTGTGACTGAACACGTTTTTGCTCGGCAGCACTCCGATTCTGATTATTCTACTTTTAAATTGGACTCAAAAATTTACTAAATTTAATAACAGGCTGGAATATAATTATTAAAATTTTTTTTGAGACACCAGAGATTTTTTTGTTAAATTGCACTGTATTTTTTTTTAAATTGACAATTTTAAAGATATAAGCTCATTTTGATGTTACACTCTTCAAGAGCTTTTATTTGAGTACCCACATCTATTTTTCATATATATATATATATATATATATATATATATATACATCATATATTTTGAAGATATAAGCTCATCTCGATGTTATACTCATCAAGCGTGGTTATACTCATCAATTGAGTCCCTACATCCATTTTTATATATTTTTCATATATACATATATATATAAATATATGAAAAATTGATGTGAGTACTCAAATGAAAGGTCTTGATGAGTGTAATCTCGGAGTGAGCTTATATCTTTAAAAATGTCGATAGTTTACAAGATACAAGGTCATTTTTTAATAAAAATAGAATTGTAATTTATATTTTGCTTTATTAAATAATGATGTTTTTTAAAATATAAGCTCATCCAAATGTTACCCTTATCAAGAGTATTCATTTGAGTACCTACATGCATTTTTGATATATTTTTCATATATCCATATATATAATATATATATAAAATATATGAAAAATTGATGTGGGTACTTAAATGAAAGGTCTCGATGAGTATAACATCAGGATGAGCTTATATTATTAAAAATGTCAATAGTTCACGAGATACAAGGTCATTTCTTAATTATGTATCTAGAGAGTATTTTCGAAAGCAATTTAAATACTTATCATAATAAATTGAAATTTTGACTAAATCATAAGAGATAAAAAAAAATTGATAGAAATTTTTTTGATAGGAAATTTCTTCATATTTATAATATTTAACCCAGAATTTAAAAAATTGTAATTAAAAATTACAATTGTAAGTAAATAAATCTTCTCATTAATTAATCAAAAAGTTTTTAAAAAATATATATGAAATAATTATAAAAAAAGACTGATGTGACATTAAATAGAAATGAGAGTCACTGAGGTACCCTATTTTCGCGATAGCACCCCTCTATAATTCCGCCGCCCATACAATTATATATCCCTTGCATTAAAAATACCCCGGTTAATTTTTCGGCATAAAACATCTACATGTATTATATAATACATACACACTACTTTTATTCGCAGATTCATTAAATTTTTGTCATAGCCATTAAAAAAACTAAATTAATATTAAAAGTTTAATTAAAAAATTTTTTTTACCGAAAAAACATCAATTAAAATTGAGTAAATAATTGACGATTTTATTGGCGGTCTAATCGATTAAAAATTTTCGGAAAAATAAATTTCGGTGAATAATAAAAGATATTAATTAAAAATGTAATATAAAAATTACGAATCTGACCGAGGGGGAGAGAGTGAACGGAAGGGTGAGTGTCCCCTAAGTTGTGCGTGCCCAAGTGCTCCGTACGCATAATGCAAACAGTTCTCTATATGTTGTATGTGCTAGCATTATACGGCGGCGGGCAGGAGCGGGGGGGGGGCGTGAGAGGCGGCTTAGGGAACGGGGGCGCTATAATTAGGGGCTCGAAGGGCAAGAGCGGCCATGGGGAGGAAGTAGAAGAGGCTGACAGATGTGGGAGCATTGTTTTATGGGGAACCCACACTCCTTTGCCGTCACCCCCTTTATTATATTCGCGGTCTTCGTCCTGCTCGTGTTATTGGGTCGCGGTTATTCTCTCGGCTGTTGTTCTGTCTTTGTACACTCGGTAATCGCTGTATACCCTGTGGCGCGCTGTGATTTTAAATGGGAACCCCGCGAGTATATAAACCCACCAATGACCCGAACAATTTTATTTTTGAGGTAATCATTTACAATCGGCAGTCGCTACGCGAAATATTTACATATATATCACAAAAAGGGATAAAATCTAATAATAAATATCAGAAAAAGCGTCTAAAACAATTACATTTATTTTAAAACTTAATTTAAAAAAACTAACTCTCCAATAGTGAGAAAATTCAGCGACCATGCGCCACCTGGCGGAATTTTTAAGAACTAATTTTTTAAAAAAATTTATATTTGGACATTGAGTCAGATCTGATGAATTTATTGCGAAGCAATAAATCATTTGTTAAATACTAAATATTTATTTGATAATGGGCTTTAATAAATAAATTTAGTAACTATTTTTCTCAATATAAATGCCCGACAAATGAGACCGTTGTGCATCAGCAGTGTGGGGGTGTTACTATACGAACATGCGATCGAGTTCTATATGTGTATTATATGTACTAGGAAATTAGACTGTAGTAGTTAAGTCTAGTCGACTGACATGAGACTATCATCTCGTATTACAATGGAGGACAAAGCACTGTAAGGGTACTTATGTCGACTCGATAAAGGAAGAATAGCTTTGGAGAGAGCGGGAGCGAGAGGACGATAAAGATGAACCGAGACAAACGTACCTGTGATATGATAGTTATTATACGCGTATATTGCAAAGTGCTCGGTAAAACCCAATTGCTATTCAAAACATAAAAACCATTTAAAAATCTAATACCTGGCTGGCCAGCTCGACAAAAGTACTCAAAAAAAAAAACCAGACAGAAAACCAACAAAAGTGTGATCCGACCAGCTCCTGGTATGACTCTAAGTAAAATATACGACCAAGTGGAAAGCTTCGGTCAAATAATCGTGATATATTGCTCTAAGATTTTTTAAGCTCATAAAAAATATTCAAAACTTGTATTGCTTAGTTTTATGGGATTATCAAACGTTAATTTTTAGATTCTATAGCTGTGAAGTTTTTTAAATTATAGTTAAAATAAAATTTCTTGGGTTGAAAAAAAAATTAATCGAGAAATTATTTGAACTAAACAAATAATATTTATGTTAATATACATAATTAAGAAATTACCTTGTGTCTTGTAAAATATTGACATTTTTAAAAATATAAGCTCATCTTGATATTACATTCATCAAGACCTTTCATTTGAGTACCCACATCAATTTTTCATATATTTTATATATTTATATATATGTATATATGAAAAATATATAAAAATGCATGTAGGTACTCAAATGAAAGCTCTTGATGAGTATAATATAAGGATGAGCTTATATCTTAAATATATATATATATATATATATATATATATATATATATAAAATATATCGAAAATTGATGTGGGTATTCAATTGAAAGGTCTCGACGAGTATAACATCGGGATGAGCTTATATCTTTAAAAATGTCAATAGTTTACGAGATACAAGGTAATTACTTAATTACGCAATGTATTTTAATTTTATAATTATGATTATTAAAATAAAAAATTTTAATTAATTAAAATTATTTTCCAAAATAGAATTTTAATTATTCAACGACTGAAAAAAAAAAAAAAAGTAGTAATTTTACATTTGATTGCTCATCACAATAATTATTATTGTTATTAAAAGTGAAGTTGTTTTTTATTTTAGTATATTTTCGTATCCGGGAAAATAAAATTTTCAATGATACAATTAATGATTGTTAGATGAACAGCTCAACAGTAACTGAAAAGGGTATACTAATGAGTAAGGAAAAAAATCGTTAAAATAATTGGTGCTATCGAATGCTATCGATTCTCGTATCCACCAGATTGAACTACAATAATGAAACTGATTTTCGCGGTTCACATAACCAGCCCTCAGTCGCTGGAATATCATGTACGCGAATTGTCGAATCAAGAGTTCGCGTGTAGTTGAACCGCCGAGTGCCTGAGTCACATTATGCCTTATGTTATCATCCTGTATATATACATACACGCACTCTATACACATTACTGATCCTTCAAATTTATCAACAAGCTAATTAAAACCTCAATTTTTTATTTTAGTTAAGAAAAATTATTTTAAATTTGATACATAAAAAAGCCATGAAAAAATTTTTTGTTTAATTTTCAAGGAGAAAATTTTTAACATTAATTATCTCTAGATACATAATTAGAAAATGACCTTGTGTCTTGCGAAATATTGACATTTTTAAAGATATAAGCTCATTCTGAGATTACACTCATCAAGACCTTTCATTTGAGTACCCACATCAATTTTTCATATATTTTATATATTTATATATATTAGATATATGTATATATGATAAATATGTCAAAAATGCATGTAGATACTCAAATGAAAGCTCTTAATGAGTCTAACATCGGGATGAGCTTATATCTTATTTAAAATACATATTTTATATATGTATACCTATATCTCTAGATACATATATTAAAAAATGATCTCGTATCTTGTGAAATATTGAAATTTTTAAAGTTATAAGCTTATCTCGACATTACACTCATCAAGACCTTTCATTTGAGTACCCACATCAATTTTTCATATATTATATATGTATGTATATATGAAAAATATACTGTAGATATTTGTAATAACTGTTATCAGTATCATCGCGTAAATTACTCGTTTCTATTTTATTTAAATACTTTGAATTTTTTTTTTCATTATTATTATTTAAAAAAGAATGATTGATTAACTGGGGAGTTGTAATAAAAAAAAAGATATTTATGGGACGTCAGGTACGAGCAGACGATGTGGTTCGTAGTACAGATACTACCGAAGAAATTCAAGTCGAGACATCCGACATCTCAAATAAATTTAAATTTTTTGAGACATATAAAGAACCGGAGAAAGAAAGAAAGCAGTTCAGAATAACGCCACCACGTGATGGACAAGTTAAGGTTTGTGTGCGTATGTGTGATGGGATAATTAAGATTTTGTTTTAATGGTGACTACGCAATTAAATAATACTGCATATACATTCAAATAATTACTATTATTGCTGTGTGTTACGCGTTTGCCGGTTTCATCTAACAGCACAATTAACCCTATCAAGATTATTATTATTTCCCATAATTACAATCTTCTTTATGATATTATTATTACATAATGACTTTGTGTGATTGAGTCTATTTGCAAGTTAATATTTTATTTTTTTTTTTATTAATATTATTTGTTATAATTATGGCCAGGATTTTTTATTTAATAATAACAATAATAATTAAATTTTTTATATATTGGTCATATAAAAAAATTTTTTTTAAAAGTTTAAAATTTAATTTTGTAAAAAAAAAGTATTATAGATTTTTTTTAAGACCAATAAAAAAAGCCGCAATTTTTTAATTAATTTTTTTATAATTAGTATAAATTTTAATAATTAATTATGAACTTTAATTAATAAATTACGGTAAAAATATTGGCTGTAAAAAAAAAATTACAAGAAAATTTTTTTGTAAAAAATTAAATTTTTAATTTAAATAATAAAAACAAAAATCTTGGATTTAATAATAATGTTTTGCTATGAGTTCAAAGAAACAATTATGATAATACTCAATAATTATTTTTATTTTATTATTATAAAACTAGGTGAATTCACCGGAACGTGAAATTTATCGGGATCCGGATGTAATACGAGCGGACGACAAAGTAGACCAGCTAGTTCATACAGACACGACAAAAAAAATGCTCTCCATATTCAGGCAGATGGAGGAGAAGGCCACGAAAGAAGATGTACCTGATGGACCAAAGCCGCTGAAGCGTTTCACACCGCCGCCGGAGGATAAGTATGCTAAGCTGACTGCTTCTGACACCGACGAGGAAGAGGACGGCGAGGAGGAGGAGGAAGATGGAAACGAGGATATCACCGAGGAGGAAAGAAGAAATCCTAACTACGTTCGGGCTTCCGATAAGGTAATCCTAATGCCATTAATTACTCATTTTTACAACGCATAAGTAGATAAATATTTCTTCAATGAATCACTCTATCTACCTACTGATAACTGGCTAGAATTATGTTGTGATTCAATTATTCTTACTTATCTAAAATATTCAAATAGTTATTTTGAGAATTAATCACCTCAGATAAAGATAAGAGTAATGATTATCTAATATTATTATGAGAGTAAGCAAAATGTTGTGAACAGTGTATTTATGTGACAAAATGGGTTTTTATGGTTAAATTTGTATTGATAAGTATTTAGGCTGCATTCGAAAATGCTTTATCTCTAGATACATAATTAAAAAATGACCTTGTATCTTGTAAACTGTTGACATTTTTAAAGATATAAGCTCATCCCGATGTTACACTCATCAAGAGCTTTCAGTTGAGTGCCCACATGCATTTTTGATATATTTTTCATACATA